CTGCTTCTTGGACTTCCATGAAACAAAGGCTTTGCCAAAGAAAACGCAAAAACCAGTGATTGACCTTCGTGTCTCCAAACAAGATCCCCAATCAGAATCGGAGAAAGTGTTAAGATGTACAATATTGTTTTTGGGATAGAACAGGCCTTGACCTGGGAACTTCTTAATATATCGAAGCACCCGATGAGCAGCTGCAAGGTGTTCATCAGTGGGGGCATCCACGAACTGGCTAAGCTGCTGTATGGCATAGGAGATATCTGGGCGAGTTGCGGTTAAGTATAGAAGCCGTCCAACAAGTCTCCTATAGCCAGTAATGTCTGACAGAGCAGTGCCACCTTCTTTCGTTAGCTTGTGGCCTGGAACCATGGGGGTGCACACAGGTTTGCAAGAGAGAAATCCTTCATCAGCTAGAATATCTAATGCATATTTTCGCTGACATAAGTTCAATCCAGCTTCGCAGTCATGAGCTTCAATGCCAAGAAAGTACCCCAGCTTGCCGAGATCTTTTATTTTGAAGGTGGAGTCAAGAAAAGACTTGAGCTCAGTAATAAGCTGCATATTGGGGCTAGAGATCAAGATGTCATCCACATATATGAGAATGGCCATGAAATCTGGACCACACCCTTTAGTAAACAGTGGAGGGTCTGAAGGAGCTTGTTTGAATCCTTTACTCAACAAGGCATTGCTAAGTCGTGAGTTCCATTGCCGACTAGCTTGCTTGAGGCCGTAGAGAGATTTTAGTAATCTGCAAACTTGTCCCGAACTTTCCCCTTTGAAACCGGGTGGCAGCTCCATATAAACCTCTTCATCTAAGCTGCCATGTAAAAATGCGCTATTTATGTCGAGTTGCTGGATATGCCAGCGTTGAGAAGTTACTAAGGCCAGGAAAACGCGGATGGTTGTAAGCCTTGCTACGGGGGAAAATGTTTCGATATAATCGACCCCCAATTGTTGCGTGTAGCCCTTGGCTACTAACCTTACCTTGTAGCGTTCAATTGAGTCATCCGCTTTGAGTTTCGTTTTGTAGACCCATTTGCACCCAATCGCCGTTTTTCCGGGTGGTAACTCAACTATTTCCCAAGTGTTGTTGTCTTGGAGGGCCTTGATCTCGACTGCCATGGCATCTTTCCAACAATCATGGCGTACGGCTTGGTTGTATGTATTCGGCTCATTAACAGAGGTTATTTCCATTGAAAAAATATTATGGGGTTCTGTCAAAGCATCATAAGATATCACCTTTGTCAATGAGTGTGGAGATGATCTGCTGTCAAGGATCATATCACAGTAATAATCTTGTAATCGACTGGGGGCACGTCGATCTCTAGTGGATCTTCTCGGCTGCGTAGGAGGGGAATTATCTGTGGACTCTTCCTGATTGGCTTCAGCAGTATTTCGACCATCATCATTACTGTGGTTCTGGTCTTGCTGGGAGCTTATATTAGCTGGTGGCTCAGCTTCAACAAATGACTGTTCTGAGATATAGCTGCCCTGCATAGGAACACCAGGACTAATGGAATTGTGCCGCATAGGAGCACCAACGTTCATAGAGTCGGCTGTAGAGAGCACTGGCAGAAATGGCTCAGAAATGGGATTTTCATGCGATTGTTGCTGTTGATCTTGGTGCACCATGGGAAACTCTTCCTCATAAAAAACAACATCCCTGGAAATAAGAAAGGAACCATCATTTATGTCGTAAAGAGAGTAGCCCTTAATTCCAGCTGGTATGCCAAGGAAGATGCACTTCCTTCCTCTTGGCTCCATTTTATTTCTATTACAAGGCAGTGTGGCGGCAAAGCATAAGCACCCAAAGACTTTTAGGGGCTCTAAGTCAGGTTCTTTGTTGTATAACCTCTGGTATGGACTGGTTCCCTCTATCACTGGGGATGGAAGCCGATTAATGATGAACACGGCATGTGTAACACAGTGGCCCCAAAACTGGAACGGGAGATGTGCTTGGAATCGCAATGACCTTGCAACGTTGAGGATATGTTGGTGTTTTCTCTCCACTACGGCATTTTGTTGTGGGGTATTAACGCAAGAGCGTTGGTGGATGATCCCATTATCCGAGAAGAATTCGGGCATGTTGAACTCACATTCATTGTCGCTTCGGATGACTTTAATTAAGGCACCAAATTGAGTGAACACATAGGCATGGAATTGTTTAATAAACTGTCTAGTTTCGGACTTATTCCTCATCATATGCAGCCAAGTGAACCTTGAAAAATCATCCACTATTGTTAGAAAGTATCGTTCTCCCTTTAAAGAACACACCGGGAATGGCCCCCATATATCAACGTGTATTAAATCGAAACAAGCATTTGAAGTAGAAGTACTAGATGGAAAAATAGAACGCCTATGCTTAGCTAAATGGCATATATCACAAGCTAAAGCCTTATTTCCTGTAACATTGATGCTACTAAAAAGATGTAGTTTATTGATTGGGAAATGTCCCAATCGTTGGTGCCAAAGCCTAGCACTACTACACTGCATATTGTTCTTTGCTTCCGGCATTTTTGGTGGTCTCAACAAGATGTACAGCCCCATCTCTTGTCTAGCTAAACCATCCATCTGCCCATGAATCCCCTGAACCAAACACTGCCCATCCATGAAGATTAGTTTATAGGTTGTGTCTTGAAGAAGCTTACTAACAGAGATGATATTAAACTTGAAAGCAGGTATATATAAGGCCTTTCTTAACCACATGGTGTCATTCATTCTCACATCTCCTATATGAGTGACTGGAACGCATTGGCCAGTGGATAGATTTACCTTTGCCCCATTAACAGTGTGGCAGCTATCAAAGAAATCGGGGGAGCATACAATGTGATTTGTAGCCCCGGAATCAAGAATCCATGTGGATGAACCAAGTATAAGGGAATTAACTTGTGATTGGAAATACTTGCCTTCCTTATCATTCTGAATTTCATCAAATACAGGTGTCAAGTGAACTGCTGCGTTAGTGTTCGACACAGAGGACTGTCCTGCTTGTACGATGGCCATAATCTTTCGAAGTTGCTCGGATGAGATGCCCAGTTCACCCGCACTATCTGTGACTGCCCCCGCAGCTTGTTGTTTCCCTCTTGACTTGAATCCCGGCACCCAACCGGGAGGATAGCCATGTTTTTTGTAGCACTTGTCCACAGTATGCCCCATCATTCCGCAATAAGTACACTTCGGTTTATTCACATTGCTTCGTTTGCCATTAAAAATGTTGAAAGCTGCAGCTATGCCTTCCTCATTATTGGGATCTTGGCCAGAGTGTACTGCGTTAGCATGATTAATATCTAGGTTTCCCAAGCTCAAATTGGTTAGGTTAATCTGTCTTTCTAATTTTTCCGCCATTACAAAACCTTATAAATCTCAGGTAGGGGATCCAACACAAGAACATTCGATTTCAGGCTATTGAAATCATCATTTAGACCTTGTAGAAAACGGATTACCTGGTCCGTGTCTCTGTCTTTTCTGATTCGATCCACTAAATCGCAGGAACATCTTGGAACACATCTACAAACGGGAAGAGGCCTCAATGTATTCAATTCCTCCCACAGAGTTCGCGATTTGGTGTAGTAATCGCTTACTGACAATGACTGCTGCTTCAAGCTATATATGTCATTTTGTAGAATTGCGATCCTCTGAGCATCATGTTGTGAAAAACGTCTCCTCAAATCCTCTCAAATATCTCTGCTACTGTCAAAGTGTATCACACTTTGGGCTATGGAGGGGTGCACTGACTTGAACAACCATGAACACACCAAGAGATTGCACCGTCGCCACATGGAATACTGAGCGCTGTCTCTGCCTGGAGCTGTCGTACTGCCATCAACCAAACACCATTTGTTTTTAACTTCAAGTGCAATTCTCATGGAAATTGACCAGGTTCCATAGTTGGAACTTCCGATTAGGGGCGGATTAACCAGAATCGAGCTCGGATTGTCATTAGCGCCTAGGAGAAAAGGATTCTTCGGTTCTTCTGAAATTAGGTTTTCCTGGGGGCGATTGAAGATGTTCCGCTGCGGAACGAGTTCTGGAGTGGCTTGAACGGGCGATTGGCCGGTCGGAGAGGCACCTTGTGTCTCCGGACTGTTGTTTCTGACGCCAGATGCGGCGGCGGCGTATGAACGGTATCGAAGCTTTGATACCATAACGGAATGCGTGGAGAAGAAAAGGAAAAATATGTTCAAAACATTGAAGAAAGTAAGTGTGTATTGAAATTGATCTCTAGAGCACGGTTACAGAGCTTTTAAGTATATGGAAGGAGACAGTTAAGAAGACAGTTAAGAGGTTAGGAGGTTATAACTATCTTATCACGAGCAGACCCTTCTAAGTGTTGTCATTAGCTCCGCCTTCTAGCTCACGTGCACTGCCCTCTAATATTCTTCTCATTTGTTCTAATTGATGCTTCATAAATGGTAGCAGTGAAGTTTAAACTTCAAAGTAAACTTTAATGTTTGAAACTTTTTTCGGTTGCCCTTATCAAGTATTTAAGATTAGATTAGTGGTTTTATACTGTCAAATTTTCGTGACACTTGAGTTTGTTTGAGTTGGTTATTATAATCTATATATAATATAATTCTTATTTTGTCTTTCTACTAATTAGAAATTTTAATTTAATTTCATATTTGTGTTGTTTATCAAATTGTTATATCATTACAACTTAAATTGTTGTCCTGGCAGTGAGGAAGATGATGTTTCATGAGATGGGTTTGGTTTTTTGTGATTGTTATGATTTTGATATAATTTATCTTATGATGTGTTGTTTAGATTACAAATAGTTACTATAAATTTAGATTTTTGTCTCTTTTGGTGTAATTTTTATAAAACATTTAATGATTTTTTTTTTTTTGTTAGATAAGAGAAACTTAGTTATTGCATTGATTGAGATGGATATGAATTCACTTTTTTTTTTTTTATGGCAGCATGGGGAACCAACATCAAGGAAACAGGAAAATGTGTGAATTGTTTTGTTTTGTTCTTTTTCAAATATGTTTAAAATATTTTTTTAATGTTCTAATTATGTTGTTTCTTTTTCAGAATCTCTCATGGCACATAAACAGTATAGAGAGTTGGCTACCTACCGGTGATATGCTTAATGTTTTATCTCGCATGGGTTTAGGGTTTCTTAAATCTCTAACATATGATGTCAATGTTAACCGTTTTCTTATTTCTGGTTTATTAGAGTTCTATGATCCTGTAAAAAGGGCTTTTGTTTTTCAAAACGATATTAAGCTTGTATTTAGTTTGCAAGACATGTTTTACTTAACAGGTTTGCCAATTAATGGCAAAGCCGTAACTGAACTAACAAAACAGCCAGCTATTGCATTTAAAGATGCTTTTTGTATGGAGCGAACCAGGGCAATGATGTCAGGCACCACACGGATATAATCTTCTTAACGAGGTTGAAGAATTACTACAAGGATAAGCCTTTAATACAAGGTGATTGTGAATATTTGCCTCATATTCGAGCTTATATGCTCTACTTGTTGGGCTGCTACATTTTGCCTGGGTCCACATTAGATCAGGTGAACACAGATTATTTGTCCATTCTAATGGACATTGACGATATTAAAAACGATGTATGGGGAGCTGTTGCACTAGCCCACATGTATCTACTTTTTTAGTCTTTTTTTTCTTACAGGTCTCCAAAGATGCATGGAGGTGGGCCAGTGCAACAGCTCCCCATGCATAGTTTTTAATATCGTCAACGTCCATTAGTTTGGACAAATAATCTGTGTTCACCTGATCTGATGTGGACCTAGGCTAAATGTAGCAACCTAGAGCATATAAGTGTTGGGTTGGGACTTCCCTCCTATGTGGTAAATAGCTCAGTTTGGACCAAGCCTATTTCACTGCAATATTTGTTAGCTTGATGAAAAGTTTGCTGGCAATTATTTGGGTTGGAGAATGTGTTATTGGGTAGAAGTTAAAGATTGGATGTTGGGCAGAAGTTTGCTTGGATGAACTTGGGAAGAGATTTCCGAAGGGAACTTGGGAAGAGGCTTCCTAAGGTTTATGGGAAGAGATTTCCTAAGGATTATGGGAAGAGGTTTCCTAAGGATTATGGGAAGAGGTTTCCTAAGGTTTATGGGAGGAAGTTGAGGAATTAATTAGCTTTCTTTATTTCCAAGGTGGCTGCCTGCATCTATAAAAGGAGGGAAAATTCATTGTTTCCTCACCACTACACCAGACACTTCTACATACTACACATATTCCATTTATATTTTTCGGCAGAAGCAGTAGGCCAAAAAGAAAGAAAAATTCAGTTTTCTTTCTTTCTCTTTGCACGGCCGTATGCAGCAGTTGAAGGAGCAACATCTATTTCTTCTTCTTTTTGTGCTACTTTGTCGTGGGTTTGCCTAGCTTCTTTGGTGGCACGACGGTGGCGTGTGTTGGCAGGTTTTGTCGCACGTCTGATGGATTTGTCGTGAGGTTTGCCGAAGATCTTTGTAGAGGTCAGTGTTTGTTCCAGGCATCATCGTTTTGGGTAAGCTCGTAATATTTGTATTCTTTTCACCTTGTTCGTGGTGGTTGAATATTTTTTAGTACGAGTTGGTATCCCTTTTTAGGCCTGTGAACGTGATATATTGTATTTGGCCTAGTTGTTGTATTTGATGATTTTTAGGGTGTTTGGCTCGGGTAGCCAGCAACTTTGTACCCAAGATTTGTTATAGTGGAATATTGTGTTGGTGGTGGTCCGTGGTTTTTCCCCGTGATTTTGGGGTTTTCCACGTAAATCTTGTGTCCCTTGTGTCTGTTATTTATTTTGGCTGTTTTGCACCATCTCGTATTTGCGCTCTTGTCGGTCCTGTGATTTTATTTGTCACAGGTGGTAGGATTTTTTTTCAACAATAAGCTCTAATATGAGGCCAATATTCACAATCATCTTGTATTAAATGCTTATCCTTGTAGTAATTCTTCAACCATGTTAAGAAGATTATATTCGTGTGTTGCTTGACATCATTGCTCTAGTTGGCTCCAAACAAAAAACATCTTTAAATGCAATAGCTGGCTGTTTTGTTAGTCCAGCTACGACTTTGTCATTAATTGGCAAACCTGTTAAGTAAAACATGTCTTGCAAACTAAATACAAGCTTAATATCGTTTTGAAAAACAAAAGCCTTTTGTACAGGATAATAGAACTCTAATAAAGCAATAAATAATAAAATGGTCAACATTGACATCATATGTTAGAGATTTAAGAAACCCTAAACCCGTGCGAGATAAAACATTAAGCATATCACCAGTAGGTAGCCAACTCTTTATATTGTTTATGTTCCCCGAGAGATTCTGAAAAAGAAACAACATAATTAGAACATTAAAAAAATATTTTAAACATATTTAAAAAAGAACAAAACAAAGCAATTCACACATTTTTCTGTTTTCTTGATGTTGGTTCTCTATGCTGCCAAAAGAAAAAAAAAAAAAAAACATAAGCGAATTCATATCAATCTCAATCAATAACTAAGTTTCTCTTATCTAACAAACAAATAATCATTAAATGTCTTATAAAAATTGCACCAAACAAGACAAAAATCTAAATTTATAGTAACTATTTGTAATCTAAACAACACATCATAAGATAAATTATATCAAAGCCCTAACATTGGTTATTTAATCACAGTATGCATTAATTGCATACACCTTTTTCAACTCTAAATCATACACACTTCTTCTATAAATTTAATCAACCATTTCAGATTGAAGGTATCTCTCTCTCAGCTATCAACTCTCTATGTCTGTCTTCTCCCTCTCCAATTCGAAAGCCTAAAAAATATCTCAAATGTTAGTCCTTGGAAAAAATATCTGCCCAGATCACACAAGAAAGGCAATAAGGTTACGGTTAGTGAGAATTTACATTGTTCCTGAAGGCTATAATTCACAGCAAATAAAGAGTCAAGAATGCCTCTTCCATGACATTGACGTAACTCTCTTTTCTATACTTTTGTGTTGTTTTCTATATCTTGAATGCCTTCAAATAAGCAGAACATATGAACACTTATACATGTCTTCAAGTTGTTTTCTATACATGTTTTCTATAACTTTAATGCCTTCAAGTAAGTTTTCTATAACTTTAATGCCTTCAAGTAAGTTTTCTATAACAATATTTTGGAAAACTTACCTAATTTTTAAGTAACCAAGGTAGACATCATACATCTCTAAATCTGGTCAGTTAGATAATCACCCTACCCGTCATTGTCCCGATAAATCTAAATATAAAAATTAGTTTTGAGTAACACATAAAAAATTCTATTTTTAGAGTGAATTCCATTTTGGCCCTACTGTTATATGGCCGTTTTCAATTTTAGTCTAGCTTATTTTTTTTTGCCACTTTATAACCACTATTATTGAATGTGTTCTACTTTTAGTCCCACCATTAGCATTTTCATCAAGAGGTCGTGTAATCTAGGGGTATTTTGACCTTTCTTTTCATCCAAGACTATGCATGTTTGACTAAAGAAATGAGAACATTAAACCTAAAACCTAAGAAGCCTCGCTGACCCATGTTGGAACGAATGAAAAGATGTAGCTTTGGCTTCCCATTCTCGTTGTTCGAAGAGCCATCTTCAAATATCGGAGGGGGAGGACGAAGCGCCTGGATTAAAAGAGAAGAGACAAACATAAAAAGACCAAAATACCCTTGGATTATACGGCCTCTTGACGGAAATATTAACAGTGCACTAAAAATGGAACACATTCAATAACAGTGGTTGTAAAGTGGCAAAAAAAAAAATTAAGGTGAACTAAAATTGAAAACGCCCCTATAACAGTACGACCCAAAGTGGAATTGACTCCTATTTTTATGATACTTACTGTTCATTTTAAGCTCCGAAGCAGGGCCGTCCCTGGGCATGTCTGCCCAGGGCAGGCGCACAGGGCCCCCAAAATTTTGGGGGCCCCTTAATTAAAAAAAAAAAATAGCATATATAGGCTTTTGCTTTTGGACTTCAACCAATTAAAGAAAGCCCAATGTTAGTGAACCTTTCTTTAAAAAACCAAAGCCCACTTGGCCACTTTCACACCAACATACGTAACAAATATCTAAATTAACCTAATCTAGAACCTATTAACTATATAACCTATATTAACCTAATCAAAATTCTAAAGTTTCACAAACAGAAAGTCGGAAAGAGAAATTTTCAAAAAAAAAAAAAGAAAGTCGGAAAGAGAAATCACAGAAGAGACGAGACTCAAACTACAACAAATTGCTTACTGCCTAACAATTTAGGTATTTGAACTTTTATTCTTTTAATTTGAGAGTGCTATTTGTGAATTCTAGGTATTTGAATTAATTCAAATATTGAATTTTTTAAATTTGAATATTTGTGTATTTGAACTAGATTAGGTAATTTAAATTTGGGAAAGACGACAGATTCTACTCGTATGATACTGATTCTCCAATTCTCAAACTCTCAAGTTCTTCAATTCTCTTGATAGGTAATTAAAAATATGTATTATTTTACAATTCTTGTTTATTGTTTTATTTACATGACTTAATAATTCTGATTTCAGAATAATATATTCAAGAATTTGTTTCTTGATTAATTATCTATTCATAGGTTTCTAAATAAATTTTTATTTTTTCCTTAGGATTTTATGTCTTCTAGAAAATATTCATCTGGATTTTTGAAGACAACTTTTTGAACAATTATTATTTATATATAAAAATTAATTAAAAAAAGAGCCCAAATTCAAATATTGCACAGGACCCCAATTTTTATTGGAACGGCCCTGCTCCGAAGGGTGTTAATACTTGTGTGTAGAATCTGTTAAGTAATCTACCTGGCTAATATGTGTGTAGAATCTGTTAAGTAATCTACCTGGCTAATATTTAGGAACATTGATTTGATTTCTGAAGCAACCAAGCTAGACATCATAAATCTCCAAATCTGTTCGGTTTTATAATCAACCTACCAGTAATAGTCCCTGTAAATCAAAATATTAAAATTAGTTTGAGTAACAGAGTAAGACAAAAAAATGCTATTTTTATGATACTTACTGTCCATTTTAGGCTCCCAAGG